GATGACATCATCACACTCTAATTACATCCTTTTTTGTTTATTCGTCACAAAATATCCAACATAATCTGCAACAGTTAAAATAAAGGAAGTAGAACATGTCAAAATACTCTGACCTGTTTAACCCTCGACTGCCTTGGTCCACCTTCATAATGGAGCTCCAGGGCTTTCTCCCTCATTCCTTTGTTGAGTGTAAAAATTGTCATTCGTGCTAAAATTTTCCCGCGAGAACAATCAGTTCAACAACATCTCCATGAAAGCTGGACCGCTCTGGGAGGATCTTTGTAAAGAAGACGAATACCGGGGCTGCAGACTCAATCTGAGCGCCCATTCTCATTGGTCATGCCACAGAGACGGGCTTTCTCTTAATCCTCGTTTAGACCATGCGTCTCCCTTTGAGCACAGCGATTTTTTAATTTGACAAATTAACCAACACGGAGCCACGGCTCGCCTGCAATCTAATCAAAATAAAAGCACCGGCTAATTTCACTTCCTCAGCAGCAACAAACTCCCTTCTTCAGCTGGCTGATTAAGCCGACTCGATCGCACAAATGTATTTGATGTGATTGGTTTGATATTCTACAAGACACGGAACCACCTGAATAAAGAAGAAGAAGAAGAAGAAGAAAGCATCATTTCTATAGCGCCTCTCATGATAAAAATCACGAGGCGCTTCACAAAAACAAAAAATGTAAAAATATTTAAAGAAGCTTTTAGAAAATGTTTAAAAATATATTTAAAATGAGCTAAAAGAGACAATTGTGATTAAAAAATGTTAAGAAAGAGAGAGAGTGAACAGGAAAGAGGGAAACCAGTGGATCCTGAGGAAGGTGGAATAGGTGGGGAGAGCAGAATAAAGAGAGAGAGGTGAAGAAGGTCATACAAAAGCCAGCTTGAACAAGTGAGTCTTCAGCTGCTTTTTAAAGGAGACCACTGAGTCCACTGATCTCAGACTCAGGGGGAGAGAGGTCCAGAGTCTGGGGGCCACAGCAGCAGATGATCTATCACCTTTGACCTTTAGCCTGGTGCTGCACAACCAGTAGGCTTTGATCACTGGACCTCAGGGACCTGCTGGGGGTGTAGGGACTAAGAAGATCACCAATGTAAGATGGTGCTTGTCCATGTAAGGCCCTATAGACCAGAACCAGGATCTGGAAATGAACCCTGAAGTTGACTGGCAGCCAGTGAAGCTGGAGGAGAAGCGGGGTGATGTGGGTGTGTTTGGAGGACTTGGTCAGAAGCCGAGCACAGGCGTTCTGAACCACCTGTAGACGGTTCAGGGAGGTTCTGCTCAGACACGTGAAAAGAGAGTTACAGTAGTCTAAGCGTGAGGAGATGAAGGTGTGGAGAACTGTCTCAAGTTCAGAGCGGGACAGAATGGGACTCAGCTTAGCAACGTTCCTGAGATGGAAGAAGGAAGAGCGAACAAGAGAACTGACATGAGAATCCAGGGTGAGAGCTGGGTCAAAGGTCACGCCAAGATTCCTGACAGAAGGTTTAGTGTGGGAAGCAAGCTGACCAAGAGAGTCTCTGACTTTGGGAACCAGCTTGTCTGGGGCACAGATGAGGATCTCAGTCTGATCTTCATTCAGCTGAAGAAAGCTCCCACCATCCAGGTTTTGATAGAGTCTAAGCAGGTGTGTAACAGCTGCAGCTTAGACATCTCATGGGGCTTAAAGGAGATGTACAGTTGGATGTCATCTGCATAAAGATGGTAGGAGATTCCTTTGAAGGAGCTCAGGATGTGCTGAAGAGGAAGCAGATAGAGGAGGAAGAGCAGAGGCCCCAGCACAGAACCTTGTGGGAGAAGAACAGACGGAGCTGAGGCGGTTCTGATCAGTGGCTCCTGTTGGTAAAGAAGTAGGCGAGGACGGCGGGGCGAGTTAACGGGCTCTAACTGTCATCAACATGCAGCGACGTTTCACGCTTGGCTTAATAAGGGCTCAGTGTCGACTCGCAGCGCCTTCTCACACCTCGTTACTAAACGAGCTGCATTTAATGAGTTGCTTTTATTAGGAGACGTTTCTGGCAAAAACAACCTTTTGTGGACACACAGCAGTGGTCACGGTGAAGTATAACACCAGCGTGACACATTCTGTAAAACTGCTTTAAGGAAAAAAATAACGTGGACGTAGTTTATTTTCATTTCTTCGTAAAAGCTCATTTAATTAGTCTAATGAGCGTTACAACAAACATAAGTTTTTTTCTTTTGCTGTAAAAGTTTCTGTAAAAAATGTTGGTTTAATGAAACAAGCCCCGCCCACTCATCCAGTCACCGCCGTGCAGTGTTTAGGCATCACATCATAACAAACATGAATGTTGTTGTAGAAGATGACATAAGAACCAGGCTTCCTGATCGACAGAGGAAAACACCTAAATAAAGATTTATTCTGTTGTATTTTTGATTTTGTGAAGGAAAATGTTTGTTTCCTAAGAGGAGAGAAGGATTTCAAACAAGTACTGCGCCTCACCACTAGGGGGACAACTGCAGGTCACGTTCCTCCCTCTATTTATATATCAACAAGAAAAACAACGTTGCATTATTTTGCCTAAACAGTGACGAATAAAATGAAACATCCAGCAGGTTGTTATTGAATAACAGAATAAGAAAACACGTTATAAAAGTAGATTTTACAGTATTTTTTATTTTATTTCAGTGTCATCGAGTGAACTGAGCAAAAACTCCAAACTTCATTTATGAACTATTTTAAAAACCAGGAAGTGACAGGAATCTGACACATCTATGGAGCGCCCCCTAGTGGCTGGTTTCATCCTAATGTCAAGCCTCAACGACTCAGACTTTAGAAATGTGTGGTTTTTGTGAGGCTGCGCGGTGGAGCAGCTGGTAGTACAGTTGTCTAACAGCAACAAGGTGGTGAGTTTGAAACCCACCTACTGCAGCTTTTCTGTGTGGAGTTGTGTTCTTCCATACCGTGCATGGGTGGCTTTTCTCTGGGTAATCTGAGAAGTTGGTAGTCTGTCCCTGTGATGGACTGGAGATCTGTCCAGGACGTCCCCCGCCTCTCGCCTGATGAAGACGGGCACCTACCCTGTTGAGAAAAAGCCGTCCAGATCATGGACGCGTGATTTTTTTATCATGAAAAAAGTTCCTTTTTTAAATTGGCAACATCTGTAAATGCAAAATCCTGGTTGATTTGATCAAATTAAAAGCTATTGGTACATGATTTTGTTAAGTCAGCTGAACTGTGAGTTGAATAAATTCCCCTCAGAAAGCCGTGGTACGGTGGGAGCTACCCCTCGGTCCTGTTAAACCCCGTGACAGACGCTCGGCGTCAGGCTGACAGCTGCCACTTTGACTGAGGGCTGGGAGGCCAATCTGCCATGATGACTGTTTGATGATGAGTCTATTTAATTATCATTAGCCTGATCACACATCTCCATCCCCTTTAACGGATCCCATGGAGGTAATGAGGCAGGTTTCTCTGGAAAGCGACAGGAAAACTCTCAGAGTGAAGGCATGAGAGGACAGAAAAAGAACGAGTGAGAGGGAAAAACACAGGACTTAGGATGCAATAAGTGAATTAGAGGGGCAAAGATGGGAGTGGAGGAGGAACGGGAAGAGGAAACATTGTTTCCCCGCTACATTATCTTGTTGTAATTGTGGTCGGTGTAATTTACCTGCAGCTTCCCCTCAGCTCAGCTCCTGGCGAGGGCCGACAGTGGCTCAGGTATTAGAAGTTCTCTCTGCAGTCGGTGGGCTGTGTTCCAACCTGGATTCCCCCTATGTCAGCCATTGTGCCCTTGGGCAAGACACTTCTCCCACCTTTGCCCATTGGTGGTGGTGCGAGGGACAAGTGGCACCCGCGTACGGCAGTCCCGCCTCCGTCGGAGGCCCCAGCGCAGGTGTGACTGCAAGCTTTTCGCCACCAGCGTGCGAAAAACTGTTGAGCACGTTGTAGTCGTGCATTCGTTTGCAATATTGTTAAACCCCCTCCACATATGGAATATTCATGTGTGTCTTCTTAGAAACGACGGAATCGGACGTAAGAGCCCGTGCACTTTGTAAAAGAGGGCAATTATACAGGAAGACAACGGAAATTTAAAAGCAACACAACAACAAAAGACATGGGACAGCGATGAAGTACCGTAAATCCTCTAAAATAGGCCTGGGCCTTTATTCACTCGAGCACATCCTCTTTCTTCAGCCTTCAGAGAGTACAGACGCTTTTTTCTCAGCTCCCTTATCGGCTTCCCCAAGGCTCTTGTCCTGTCTGCCTACAGAGCACTTCTCTGCATTTCTCCTGAAACCACTACTCTCTTTTTGGAAATATGGACTTAATTAATTGGTCATTCAACGTGATTGACAAAATTTTCTCTACGATGAGAACGGAGAAGGGGGCTCCCACCTGTCCCGAGGGGACATTCGCATCGGGATATGCACTCGATTCTTGGGAGGTCTGGCGAATCGTGTGCCTCTCTCAGCTGTCCATCGAGGACGTGGAAGATTTGTGGATATTCGGCCTGATGATCACTGGATTTCTTCTGATTGGAGTGGGAGGATATCTGGTTTTCTGGAAATTTGGGAAGACGGGAGCGATTGGAGTGCGACCCGTACCCACGGAATGTGCCGCTCGTGCGGTGACCTCACAGACTGGGACGTTACTCGAGGTGAACCGTAAGCTGGACAATGTCCTCGCGGCGTTGCCTGTGTTAGTGCGCAAGATGGATTTGATCTCGGAGAGGGTCGCCGGACGATGCGGGGATGTGGAATGTAAAATTGGCTTCACTGGTGGACATGAATGACCACTTAGAGACTACAAGACGGAGGGGAAGATTATCTCTGTCTACCCTAAACAAAGTTATGTTTATCCTTATCTGACGCCATAGCAGCCTCTCAAGGCTGCCTCAACACACCCCCACAAAAGGAGGAATGCCGACAGATGCTGTGTCCCGACCTTCACCCTCTCCCTTCAGGCTATATCTGCAGAGACCTCAATGTGCTCTCTGTTCCTTATCTCTCCCTCCCACCTGTTGTTCTGCAGCTGGTCGATGCGCCGCAGTGGCAGCTCCCATTGGAGGCTTCAGGATCCCGCCCACCCCCACCTCCCCATTGGACTCTGATGTTGTACACGTGCTGTCTGTGCTTCCATGTCGGGTGTTTTTTTGCACTGGAGTGCTACACCCTGCTGGTGTAACCCTGTTAATGCCTTTTTTCCCCCTCCCTGAACTTTCCTCATGTAACACCCTTTTCATCTAACTATTAAGGTAGCGCGACTCATGTTGCGAATGACCGCAGTCACCAATTCTTGTTATGTGTCTTACCCACGTATGTCTGATCTTTGAATTGTGTGTGCTGAAACTGAATTTCATTTCTCTGTATGTCCTGCACATGTGGAGAATATGACAATAAATGACTCTTGACTCTTGACTCTCTTGGTTCAGGCCTTTATTGGAAGGAGGCCAGAATTAGAGGAAGGCCTCAGTTTAAATTTGAGCAAAATAAACTACCAGTAGAATGAATAAAACAAGATTTTGTGTCTATTTGAACTATAAAACACCGGGTTTGTTTATTGAAAATGTAAAGCTAACGTCGTACGTACGTGTGCGTATAGAACATTTACACAAATACTGTTGTTTCGGGCTAAATCCCAGTATGGTAGCAAACGTAGCAACCATGCCGGTAGTGCGTTGTAAACACTTGGTGATCATTAGGTTATTAATTCACAACAAAAGGCAAGAGACACCTGTAATGATAAAAGAGGGCAAACTGCTTAAGAGCTATTTATTATTAGTAGTAGTATTATTAGTTGTGACCAATAGCTGTGATACTCTATATAAACCTTGCCTGGTCTTTATTTGTTTTAGTCAGAAGTTTCTGAGATTCTTTTGTCGACTAAGGGATCGTACGCACTTCGTTTCAAGAGTCAGGTTTCCAAACAAAATAAGAATTTATTTTACAAACACTTAAGACTTGACAAACTGTATAAACTATTATTTACTGTGAGTGGATGCGAACTAAACGATGGGTGTCTGGAAGCTATGTGTGAATATAATGTATTCAGAGTCAGAATCATGAGGAAGCTGAGTTCTGGATGGAGAGAATTTGGTTTCCAAGTAAGCTATCAAGTTCTTATTGTCAGAGCCACATGCAGACGCCATCTCGCTGTGCTCTACCTCACCCATTTGGATCCGAGATGTCCAGGAGCCGACGACCCCAATGCACCTGGCTCGTAGAGAAACCTCGATACGCCCAAATCAGTCCTCAGATGTCTCCGGGTCACAACGTTAGATGAAAATCAGTTTTGAGTCAGCTTTGTCCTGCAGGGAACTATGTAAAGGATGGCTAGTTTACATCTTACTCATGAACCATAACATGTGAGATTCCATAGAAATATGAAACATCAATCTGATGGGTCTTTGAATATTTTAACCCGAAGATCAGAACTTTTTATTGCAGGGATTAAGCGACACTTCGTATTAACTCCGAGGAAAGAGAGAGAGTCAGGTTTATAATAGTTAATACATTTATTTCTATCCAATTTAAACAAGACTAACTTAAACACTCTGTGTACTGATGGACTAAGGTGGAGTGAGACGTGAGAGGATGGTGTGTGTGTGTGTGTGGAATGTTATCATCAGAACCAGCGGATCCGGAGAAGCAGTTCTGAGTGGGAGTGAATGTTTCGCTCTAAGCTTTAGTAAGAGATTTATAACACACATGAGATGCCATCTGTCGGTCTACGTACCCCAGAGGAAGCCTCCGTCAGATCCAGAATGTCGAGGTCGTCTTGGACCCTCCTTGGTACCGAAGCCGGTAGAAAAGCAGCGGTGCCGACCAAACTAGTCTTGGAATGCTTCCAGGTCACGACAGGTTATCACTGGCGTCTCCGAGACCCTGAAGGGGTCGTGAGGTTCAGCTTTTATTCTGAAGGAGCCGTTGCGGTCAGGTGTAACGTGCAACAAATTTTATCCAGCTTGTCGAGGTTCTTTATGGCTGAAGAGGAAGTCCGGATGGCCGGTCCGAGACTTCTCTAGAACGCTTGAACTAAAGAAAAGTTGGCGTGGGAGAGTTTTTATAATTGTCATATTTTGGTTTACTGGCGAATCAGAATTTGACATGAAAAAGAGGGTTTATACAAACACCACAGATAACCACACCTCTTGTCAGAAACGAAGGTTCTGATTGGATCAGACAAAAGGAAATGTGTCGTGTGACTTTAGCATTACGTGTCTTCAGTGTCTAGCGCTAATGTCCAGGATTATAATTACCTGTAAAATACTACTGATCACAGGATTATAATATCAAGTAATAACATTGTCATTCCACAGATTGATTGATCATTGGGCTCACATTATAATTGGTAATAACAAAGTTGTTGATTATGTGTTTATCAGAATAGTTCTTCATTTTCGTCTTTGTAACAAAGGTGAAGCAGTTCAGATGAGCAGAGTGCATGAAAGACCTTGGCCACTATCTCATGTAGATTCGCCTGTCAGAGACTTTATGTCTCTGCTCGAGCAGATGCAGCAGATCATGACCTTTAGGTCAAAAACAGGACATTCATAACGCTACAACTATCTCGTTGTTTCAGCTTCGCAGGTGCGAAAAAGGTTCAAGGCTTTGACAACGTGTCAAAATCCTTCTGGTGAAAGAGGCTTTCGCTCAGATGGCCGGTCTGAAGCTTTTCTCTAGAACCCTCAAACTGTTGAACTGTTCGAACTGAGGGAAAACCAGAGCTGGCTAGTTTTAATGGATAGATATTATGATTGACTATCCAACCACAGGTTGGCACGTTTGAGGATATTACCAAGCATCTCAGAGACACACCCTCTGTGATGGACACTCCGAATCTGGGCAAAATGTTAACTTATGTGTCATGCGTTAACTTACTCTGTCCTTGTGTGAGTGACCTCATCCAGTAAACATGCTAACATATATCACTGAGCACAGATTAATGAACATTTCATTATTTATAATTATAAAATCTTATTTCTTCTGGAAATAAAGGAGTTTGTTTAAAAGAGTTTCTCTGTGATGGACCTTGGAGGAGAATGTTATTGTTAACATTGTTAACAGTGGGTAAGTACACTATTTAATAAAATATTTCAAGATCAACGGTACTTTAATGTTCATAATCAAAACTATAGTTAGGTTTGTGCCGTAAAGCCGGCCACTATTAGAGACCCCCGCTGACAGTGAGACGGGCTAGTGTGATACAGGCCAGTATTAGAGACCACTGCTGACAGTGAGACGGGTTAATGTGATACAGGCCACTATTAGAGATCCCCGCTGACAGTGAGACGGGCTAATGTGATACAGGCCACTATTAGAGACCCCCACTGACAGTGAGACGGGTTAATGTGATACAGGCCACTATTAGAGACCCCACTGACAGTGAGACGGGTTAGTGTTATACAGGCCACTATTAGAGAACCCCGCTGACAGTGAGACGGGATAGTGTGATACAGGCCACTATTAGAGACCCCCGCTGACAGTGAGACGGGTTAATGTGATACAGGCCAGTATTAGAGACCCCCGCTGACAGTGAGACGGGCTAATGTGATACAGGCCACTATTAGAGACCCCCGCTGACAGTGAGACGGGATAGTGTGATACAGGCCACTATTAGAGACCCCCGCTGACAGTGAGACGGGTTAATGTGATACAGGCCAGTATTAGAGACCCCCGCTGACAGCGAGACGGGCTAATGTGATACAGGCCACTATTAGAGACCCCCGCTGACAGTGAGACGGGTTAATGTGATACAGGCCAGTATTAGAGACCCCCGCTGACAGTGAGGTGGGCTAATGTGATACAGGCCAGTATTAGAGGTCTTACGGTACATAAGAGCTCTGGTGAGAGGAAGACAAAGTGAGAATGGACACAAAGCATAAACAGCAAGACAATAAGAGATAAATGGAGAAAGTCACTTGGAAAAGCAAATCCACGAAACTGAAAAGAAGAAGCTAATGACTGAGAGGAGCTGGTGTCTGAGGCAGGAGAAATGAGTCTGGTCGTAACAATTAGACTGATTAAACGAGTGGCGCTCTGCAACATTTCACCCACATCCCTCACCTAATTTACCGCGCAGCACTCGGCTTCCTAACATGCCTGGGAGGGTAAACAAAAGAGACTCCCACCAGAGAAAACCCTCTAACACACACACACACACACACACACACACACACACACACACACACACACACACACACACGGTCTATACAAGACACCCTTGTAAATGAAGAGCACCCTCTTAACTCATGATTTGCTCATAGTGGGGCTTGCAGCTGAGGCTTGTTTCTGGGGTGTGTGTGTGTGTGTGTGGGGGGGGGGGGCTGATTGGTTAAGAACCAGCCGATGGGAGAATGCTGGAGCCAAACAGCTGCCAGACACTGGCAGAGCCGTTGGGTTCTGGATGAGGAACGTGGTGAACGAGGGTCGGTGAGTGACTGACGGCGTGTTTAGTCACCCCGACGCAGAGAAGCAGCATGACCAGACACCACGCTTACCAACCGTCTGGTTGCCAAGAGCTTCTCTTTGACCTTGACACAAATTTGTGAAAATCGGATTGCTTCTCGTGTCTAAGTGAAAGGGTTTGGCCCAAGAGCACTCTGATGTAAGAGCGCATGCGCAGGTGCTGGTGGAAGACAGAAAGGAGAGGCAGAGAGCTGGCCGCCGGTAGCAAACACTTCATCTTACAAGCTGCTGCAGTCTGACGCGGCTACACTCCGACTTTACCGCTGGGCGGATCCTCCAGACGTTTACAGAGATGTACCACGCATGGTTCACTTTTAAGGACCATCAGCTTCCCGTTGAGCTAAAGCGAGATCAGGGTTACACATAGAAGGTGAGAACTAGCTCCTTCAAATCCGAGACTGTGGTTCCCAACCCAGAAAACACATGGACTTTGGATGAGGGGTTAGCTTATGCTTTCAGGATTAAAGTCTCGTGGTGTCGCTGAGTGATGTCTGGACGGTGAATGGATCAGGGCTTGGTCCTCAGTAGCAAGGACGCTGCTTTGATTTCACTATGAAGAAGAAGCTGAATTCTTCATTCCCCATCCACACCGTTTGCATCCCAACCCAGAGCACGAGGCCCCTGAGGCAAGAGACTGAAGAGGGTTTCCTCTGTAGGGCGGCTGGAGTCAGCCTAGAGAAGCTGCTGCTCCGACGGGAAGAGGTGGACAACCAGCCTGTCCCGTCCTCTCCTCGCAGCTGATTTTAGAGTAAAGGGGCAACTCCATTTTAGGGTGGTTTATGGGGCAATCCTTTACTTCGTTTTGCTTCCACTTCACAAAGCAGGCTACAAAGATGCCGGGTCACTGGTGGGAGCAGTCAGGTCCGTTCCTTCTTCGTTTGAGCTGAGCCATCTTCCCCAGAATGGCTCTGTCAGAAACTGTCAACCCATCTCATCCACAGTCACCTGAGGGTGGGTTTCTCATTCTTCAGTCTGGTTTTTGTGATCTTCTTTAGGTCCTGTTATCCCGTATGAAGCTCCTAAACTCAGGTGGATGCACCGCTGCAGGTCCCCTCCTCCCATCACCTTTTCTACCCGCACCTTCACATCGATCCCCGCTGATTCACCAACAACTGTTTGCTGTAACGAAGTGCCGGAGGCTTCATACCATGCCACCCATGCCCGGATGTGCTATACTGCACACGCGACAATCCATCTTCCCTCTGTTACAGGAAGTCAGCCAGATATTTATTTGTTTGTTTGTTTGTTTATTTATGTTGTTTGCAAGGCACTGAAAGTTGAACTGAGCAACGGTGTGTGCTGTGAGCTATGGTTTCCATTCTGAAGCGTGCAGAGTTTAAATGGGTTAGGGGCCGGTTAGAAAGCGACTCGGTGACATGTATACACGTCTCTCTTGGTTTTCTCCTTAAGAACAGCAGATTACACCACAGCTGTTATGTAATCTGTCATCTGCTACTCGTCAGAGTTTGTCAAGTGCTACTCTTGTTCCTTTCCCCTTCTCTGATGTTCTCGGCTTCAGCTAAAGCTCCTTCTCCACCTCATCTGCACCATGCAGACGAGGGAGTTCCTGTGGCGCTCCGACTCGCTTTAACTAAATCCCTGGAGATTAGAAAAACTCAGGAAGCAGATGAGACAACTAGCTCAGCGCCTCTTCCTCTAGAAGGACTTCTTACTGAACCGGGATATTTAGCTTTAAACTGAAAAAAGTGAAACAAACTCAGAGACCACCACTTGTTTTCACTGGGTGTTGGTTTGGCCACCTCCAGCTTCTGGTGAAACTGTTAATTCCTCCAGCTCAGCAAATAATCTGAGCCGTAATTCAGCCCTGGTGTTAGCGTAACGGTCGGTCACTAATAGATGGAACTGGGATTCTCCTTCCCATGAAGCTAATTCAGGGAGAATGCAATCAGGGAGTTTTCACTTCCTGCGTGAGCTGTGATCATCCTCCTTCTGCGGCGACTTCGATATTCTATTGTGGGTCGATGTAATCAAAGTCAAGGGTAAAGGGTCAACAAATAAACACACCGGAAGATTCTTTTTCAGAAAGCTCTAGCTCTCATCTTCTCCTACAGTCAGCGTTTTCTGACCAAATCTTACAGACAAAATATTAAAACTGTGTATTTTTGTCTTGTCTTGTGGTGCATCTCGTTATAAAAGCCAGCCATGAGGTTTTTACAATGTTGGATTTTGTTGTTTATCTGCTTCTCAATCTAGATGCCTTCAGCCCGTCGTTGTTTTGTCCCCACAGAGTGATCCTTTAGAGAAGACAGGATGTTTTTAATAACAGGCCAGTGAGAGCGCAGGAATAGCTTTACTAGCAAAAGAATGAAATCCCTTATAGGCTACTAGATTTCCATATCTAGGTTCTAGACATAAAATATAGATACTGTGTGTGTGTGTGTGTGTGTGTGTGTGTGTGTGTGTGTGTGTGTGTGTGTGTGTGTGTGTGTGTGTGTGTGTGTGTGTGTGTGTGTGTGTGTGTACCAGTCTATACATCAAAATGAGGACCAAAGATTTTTACCCTCAAGCTGAGGACATTTTGCTGGTTCTCACTGTGGGACTACATTACAGAGCTCTACTAGTTAATTTTAGGTGTGTTCTTGCTGTGTCGTATCTCTAATTCCATGCTGTAGTTCTTTTTTAAAACACAGAGCAGTTTTGTTTACCTGTTTTCCCGCTACGTTTCGTTTGTGGCTGCAAACTTCCTCAGAGCTGACGCTGATGGTGGCGTCACTTCCTTCTCTGTTTATCCGCGGGCAGCAGAGGACGTTGTCGCCCTCTGCTGCCCGCTCTACCCTCTCCGACGATGCAGTCCCATGCGCGGTCCAACGAGTAAACTCCGTCGTCTCTGTTCATGGTCCCACATCCACGTCTCCTTATCTCTATAGCTTCTTTTATCCATCTTTTGTATTTCTGTTGTTCGGTGTTTATGATCCTTGTGTTGTTCCAGTCCATTACATGGTTTTCTCTTGTGCAGTGATCTGTTACGGCTGACTTCTTTATTGTGCTTTCTGCTTCTTGTTGTGCTGCTCTTGTGTGTTTTCGACTTGTTTCTTTCTCACACTCCTTTCTATGTTCTATTGTTCGTGTGTTGAGTTGGCGTCCGGGTTCTCCTATGGATGTTTTATTGCAGAGTTTGCATGGGATTTGGTAAACGACTCCACATTTAAGTCCAGCTGATATTTTGTCTTTTGGGTGTACTAGTCTGTTTCTAACTGTTGTGTATGGTTTTGTTGGTGTGTTTATGTTTTGTTTTTTCATTGTTGCTCTTCTTTTTCTGTTATGCCTTTGATGTATGGTAGGATTATCACTGGTTTTGGTTCTTGTCTTTCTGGGTTTCTGGTTCTTTGCTTTGGTTGTTTTTTTCTGTCTGTTGTTGTTTGTTGTTCTCATTTGTTTATTGCCCATGTCGGGTATCCGCAGGTCTTTAAAGCGTGTTGTATGTGTTTGTCCTCTTGTTTACGGTCTCTCTCTTCTGTTACCATGTTTGCTCGGTGATATAATGTTCTGATTACTGACATGTAGTGTATGGTGGGGTGTTCTGATGTCCATAATAGATACTGGTCTGTGTGTGTTGGTTTCCTGTATGTGTTTATGACACAACACAAGAGCAGCTAAACAAGAAGCAGGAAGCACAATAAAGAAGTCAGCCGTAACAGATCATTGCACAAGAGAAAACCATGTAATGGACTGGGACAACACAGGGATCATAAACACCGAACAACAGAAACACAAAAGATGGATAAAAGAAGCTATCGAGATAAGGAGACGTGGATGTGGGACCATGAACAGAGACGATGGAGTTTACTCGTTGGACCGCGCATGGGACTGCATCATCGGAGAGGGGAAAGTGGGCAGCAGAGGGCGACAACGTCCTCTGCTGCCCCGCGGATAAACGGAGAAGGAAGTGACGCCACCATCAGCGTCAGCTCTGAGGAAGTTTGCAGCCGCAGACAAAACGTAGCGGGAAAACAGGTAAACAAAACTGTTCTGTGTTTTAAAAAAGAACTACAGCATGGAATTAGAATCTACTGGTTAATTTTAGAGGTATGGTGTGAATTAAGTTTTAGTTAATTTAGTTTAGTGCACTATTGTTAAAGTTGGAGTTAGGGTTAGGGTTAGGCACAATGCAGTCACTAAAATGAATGGAAGTCAATGACGGTCCTCACAACAAATGCTAGACTAGTGTGTGTGTGTGTGTGTGTGCGTGCGTGTGTATGTGTGTGTGTGTTCACAGACACTCAACAAAGCTTTCAAAAACACATCAGTATAAACAGTATTCTTTTGCCAGTAGCAAGAAATCATAATGCTCTCTGAACACACACACACACACACACACACACACACACACACACACACACACTCACACTCACTTTCAGAATATGAAACCATCAGATACTGCTAGAACTGCTGAAGTGGTTGAATGACTAAATGACAGAAACAGCACCTGAAATGGCAAAACAGTAGTTTAGTACAGTGGTGTTGGCTTTAGGGGGATGTGTTGGTTTACATCAAACTTCTCTGTGAGTTTAAAGGGACAGGCTCACATGTGTCCTAGTGTGTAGCGTTATAAACATGTAAGATCTCCCCCTGTAGGTGGGTTAGGGTTAGGGTTAGGAGGACTGGATTGTTTCCAACCAGATAGAGGAGCTAACGGCTAGTCGTGGCAAGACTAGCTACAAAGTTGAAACCTAACGTCCCGGTAAAAGTGTGATATGGAGCATGTTGCAGTGTAAAGTTCACAACTATACTTGCTGGAGAAAGCTCCTGTTTGGTGTGACAGATTTAAGCTTTACTGACGAGCTAATGCTAGCCTGAGAGAGGCTA